GGTCCGGTATTAGTTTGTGCCGGGAGATTGCGGTATTAGTTTGAGCCGACAGATTTCAGTTATCAGTTACGTGACTTATGTCGCGAGATCAGACCGGTATCAGATATCAGATATCAGTTTCAGTTTCAGTTCAGTTATATATGTGCTTAGTTCATGATATTGTTATTATTTACAATGTTTACATTAGTATGAGTTTCTGCTGAGCACAAGTGTTTTAGTGCTCACGCCCCACGTTTTTCATGTTTTTCAGGGCGCCGGGTCGGAGACGAGGAGTGAGCGAGCGTGTTGTTCAGGACTTTTGTGATTATATGTATATATGTTTTGCCACGCTGGATTTCCGCTAAAAATTTCAGTACTTATTATCAGTTTCTGTTCCGACGATAGTCGGATAAGATGTTATAACCGTTTTTAATTATCAGTTTAAAATTTTAACGGTTTTCAGAAAAATTAAGTTTTTCATGGTAGCATCCCGAATCAGTTTTCGCAAAATAAGTATTTGATTTATTTATTCAGAAAATTGCGAAAAATAGCGTACTCTGATATAGTATAAAAAGTCGGGGTGTTACAGATAATCTCCTCCACTATTGTGGAATGTTGACTCATAAGGCACTTTCACCTCCTCTCGCCGAGACCATTCTCCAGATCCGCGTTGACCCCAAACTTGCTAAAATTAATAGGACAGCTCGAGCAGGTGCTCGAGTCATCATCATGCCTTAGATCTGTTAAATGCTATTGATCAACTTCTAACTAACTCTATTATTCGCGCAGAGGGATTTTTGGATAAGCCGGACTTGAAGAAATCTGGTGATAAGAGGTCTGTTCATAGGGACACTCCAGCCAATGTCGAGAAGGCCAGAGGCCAATCTTCGACAAAAGACGTGCCTTCTCGTACAGAGAAGCCTGGCGTCGGTGCCACCTCCTATTCAAACCGACAACGAGCTCCTCCTTCTCCGCCCAGGCAGGTCGAGCGTCATTCCACCCACTCGTCCAAGGAAGGCGATGCCTCGAGGAAGCGTCCTCGCGCCGAAGTGACTGGCCCACTTTCTACCAATCCTCCGCCCTCCCCCAAGCGATCTCAACTCGAAGGGGCTTCTTCGGGAAATCCTCCTCCCACATATTCTTCTCTCTCATTGCTGTCTGCCAGCCCTCGAGAGACTGTGTCTCGACTGATGAGTTTCCTTCCATTCGACGATACGCATCGCTGGGGAGTGAATCGTCGTAATCAGGCCGAATATGGTATTCGTGCAGTGACACAGGTACATTTCCTTCTTGTTATTATCTTCGAGCGTCCTGCCTTGTGTTGTACTTATTTTTGTTCTTTCCGCAGACTCTGGCTTCCATCGTGCCTCTCCTCAAGGAAGCGATGAATGGCATTGGTCGCCCAATTCCCGTGATTGAGGGCGACAATAGACGTCTCGAGGAGGAGAATAAAAGACTGAGGGCTGAGAACGAGGACCTGCTCAAGACGCGCCACGCCTTGTCAGAGCAGCTGAAAAAAGATGAGCAGCAATATAAGGATGCGCTGCAAGGCAAAGATAAGGCTCTTGAGGTAGAGCGGGCTTGTCGAAAGAAAGAAGTCGAGGCCGCTGCTATTACCGCGATCGAGCAGTCCCGTCGAGCCTTGTGGAGGACCCAAGTCGGTCAAAATTTCCT